ATGCACACTTGTCCGGAAGGACAAGTGGGAGATTGAAAGGAATGGTGTCCTTCCAACAAGTGTATTATTCCGATAGAGGGTTCAGAATTATTACAGAGCTAATTCTTCAGTAAGGTCAAGTGATCGGAATGCCTAGGTGGAGGCCGCTTCCGATCAGTAATATCAAGGTACAATTGATATTACAGCTTAATCTTAACTGAACCCTTCGGGTCGAACCCAATCGAATCTCTGATCCGAGACGTCGAATTAATCCGAAAGGATTTAATGAGTCGACAGAGTTTTACGAATACAGACGTCGGAAATCAAGCCTAGGGCGTCGATACCGAGCGTCGCAAAATCACAAGCAACAAGTATGAGCGTAGCCGTAGCTAGGCTAGGCTAGCTCATAGCATGCCTAGGTGCACCATGTGTGTGCTAGGCGCACCATGGTGTGCTAGGCACCATCGCAGCCTAGGCGCACCCTGGCAGCCCATCGCAAGCTAGCATGGGTGCCTAGGTGCGCATGGAAGCCATCGCAAGCCACACGCAGCCCATAGCAGCTAGCAGGCATGCTAGCGTGGTGCCTGGGTGCATATGTCGCCTATCGCAGGCCATGGCAGCACCAGGCGCACCATCGCAAGCACTAGGTGCTACGTGCGTGCGTGCCTGGCTTGGCAGCACCATCGCAAGCACCAAGTCCTGGCATGGTTGGCTGCCTGGCAATGGCGCGCCATGTGCGTGTGCTTGAATGCTAGCCTTCGCATGGCAGCACTAAGCATCGCAACACATGCGAGGGGTTGCGCGCCAGCTCAATGCTAGGCCTGGCACTCGCAGCGTCGCACACTAGCCTCGCACAAGCAGCCTCGCATCACAGGCGCATTGATGCGTGTAGGCTGGCAGTGCGTGGTGCGTGGCGCATGGCTGGTGCGTGTGTGTGCAATGCCTGGCTAGGTGCTAGGTAGCAGCACCACGCATGCATGTGCGTGTGCGTGTGCGTGTGCGCATGCCTCGCATCAAGCACAAGCAGTGCTAGGCACTGGCTAGTGCTAGCGTAGGCATGGTGCCAGTGCGTGTGTGCAATGGGGTATGCGAATGGTGCGAGGGACAGTGCGGCCAGCATGCGTGGCTCACTAGCAGCACGCACGCTGGCTGTGCTAGCAATGAGGCGCGAAGAGTGTGCGAATGTGTGCGTGGGGCTGCTGGGGGCTAGTGTCAGCACTAGGTGCTAGCAGCGCCCAGCGCCAGCACATAGCACCAGCACAGCCCAGCAGCAGCGTGCACTGGCTGGCTGGCTGGGTGCTGGGCAGCAAGGCACGCTAGCAGGCAGCCCCAGCTGGCACACTAGCTGGCAGCTAGCTAGCACACCTTGACTTGGTTTAGGGCATGGTGTGTGGGGACCAATTCATGGCCTTGGGGATCAAGGCAATGGTCCCCCCAAGCCTTGGTCCTCACTTGGCCTTTTCTATAAATGTGCCAAGTGTCGATTTGTGATTGAGTTGATTAATTATTTAATTTTGGAATTAAATAATTGTCATTTTACCAACTCTCCCACATTGATGGGAGATTGGAAATCAAGGGATCATTTCCCTATAAATACCAAGCTTGGTATTGGGATTTGGAACAACCTTGAGTGGAATTAAAAAGGCAACTCTAGAAAAGAGTAAACCTTTGATTCGTAAAACTCATAGTTAATTTTTTCCGGGTCTTGACTAACCTTCAAGACTTAGGACGCTCGGGTCGGGTCGAGGGTACGATCCGTCGGAGATCTCGTCTTTTCTGGATTTTGAAGTAAGAGCTCTTTAGGAGCGAAGCACGCGTCAAAGGTATAATTCTTATCCTTAATCTTGTTTGATTTAGTTTATTATGCTTGTTTAATTGCTTTAATTAAGGGGCGGGTCTTGGTGGGTTTCCTTCCGCGTAGTGTCGGGTCACTACGAAACCCTACAACTGCAACAGAGAAGTAATTTAGTAGAGAGAATAGAAGTGGAGTAAATATTGTCCTTCAACTGTACGTTGCTTAAATAGCACAAATGTTTTGAGGTTAAACAGTAGTGTATGTCATTGTAAAATCTAGTGGGTTTAAGGTTGTTGTGATGCTTTTTATTGTCCATCAGATAATAAGGTGTATAAGGTGAAATTAAATCAAGGAAATCTATTCGGTGGCTAATAGCAACAAAAGTTAACTGTTGTAATGCAGCTGTAAAAGTAATTATGTTAGTCAAATAAGAAGTGATAGAAGTTGACCTTTTACAAAATCAGATTTTGTAATAGATTAAAAGAGTACAGTAATAATTTAAGAGGTAAATAACCTAGGAAGCATTTTCTGCAGTCGTTTTCACCTGTTGCGCTTCTTTTTTTTTTTTTTTTTTTTTTTTTTTTTTTGTTTTGTTTTCTTAACTATAGATGTGAATTCCAAAACTCACTTAAAGATTTTTATAAAACACCAACATGTATTAGATGTATAAATTTATTTTTTTTTATTATTTTTTTTTTATAATGGAAAACTAATTGCAAGGGTAGGAAAGTAATCTAAATAAAGGCTTTTTTCCCTTTTTTATTTTGAGTGTGCATGACCAGATTAATAAAGCAAACAAGTTGAGTATTAATGTATTATATTTAAGTTAGACTCTTTCATGAAAACCAAACATGTGTAAGGGATGTTGAAATTACTTCAAAATAAACTAACATAACAAAATTTGTCATTGTTTACATATATATATGAGAAAATACATAACATTAAATTAAAAAATATTTTACCATAGGAATAAGGTGGTTACAGGCCTCACAAACTGGTTAGTAATAAATGCACAAAAAACTGAAGTTGCATATCCATGGTACCATGTTTTGCAAGGAAGAATAAAATAGGCATTGCATCTGCATATACAAAGTGTTGAAGATATAAATTAGTAGGCAGTAATGGAGTTTTGTTTATGCCAACAGTTTTTAAAACAGAAAGCATTATACCTGTAATAGACCGCATTACGTTATGCTAGATAATCGCAACACATCATAGGCTACAAGGTTTTTCAGAACGGTTGTTGTATTATTTTCAGAAGGCTGGGGTGTGATAACTGATAGAGGATTTAAACACGTCGTTTTATGCTCAAAGCCTTATCAACAAAATTTGTAAACACTCGACTAATCCTAAACAAAGTATAGAGGTAAGTCAAGAGTTGAACCACGAGGAATGGGAGAAAGGTTACTAGAGCCTAGGGTCAAGCTTCTTTGAAGTATAGGAAGATGTTGATTGTGTAAGCTATGGTCTCAAGCAACTAAATCACTAAAGAAATTCAATATCAAAAGCACTAGGGATTAGGATCCACATGCAATCAAGATAGAGATGCTAATTGAGGAGAATCGATCAACCAAGCGTTGCAAGGGAAAATAGTAATCGCAATCGAAAGGACTTAAAAGGTTATCTCCAAGAAGTCAAGCTAGGTTTACTCTAAGAATGACTAACAAGAAGAATCACAATTCAAATTCAATCAATAAATGCAATCCCTAAAGCAAGTGGTCATGTCATTAGGAATCACAATGCAATCTAGCTTGAAAATCAAGGTTAGCTACTTCTATCAATCCAAACACATGCAATTCTATCAACCAATTTAATTACAACATTCAATCAATCAAAATCCTTCAATTAGCAATGATCCATCTTTCCTACATGCTTCACCATCACCCTAGCAAAGATTCTACTCACTAATCATAGTAAATTGAAGAAGCAAAACTAAACTAACCATATATCATTATCATCACCATCATTGCAAAACAAACTAATCAACATCAAATCAATCAATAAACTTGAAATTGCAACAACCAATCAAAATCAAATGCAAAGAGATTGAATTAAGAAGAAGAAAAATCTTACAAACTTTGATCAAATCAAAGAAATGGTGCTTGCATTCAAATTTGAAGAAGATCAAAGGTAGAAATCACTAATTTTCTCTCTCAAGTTTCTCTCTCTAAAATCTAGTACAAAAAAATTGAAGTTCAAGTCTAATTCTAGTTGTTCTTTAAAAGAAGAAGGAAAAGGTATTTATAGTATAACTAACTAGGAGGAAATAAGGAAGACGTCGAAAAATAGACTCGTCCGGAGGCACCCTCTCACGAGCATGCGTGCCCCCGACGATCTGGGTACGGAACAGGAAACCCAAATGGCGCGCCCGCGCCAACAGGTTGCGCACCCGCGCAGGTGTGAAGCACGCCCACGCCACTGGAGCAGGGGATTTACTCTGTGCGCTCTTGATGTAGGTGGTGCGCTCCTCTTGGTTGTCGCTAGATATGGCAGTCTCGAAATGGAGTTTACAGAGGGTTCAACCCCATATTTTCATGCGAGCGCAGCACGTGAGCACAATCATCAATTCTTGAAGCTAGTCATTCCTTGCCTTATGAGCCATGTAAGAACTTCCACCTTGCACTTTGAGCATCCTCTAACTCGAGAAATCATCATGAAGGGTCTCGGACTTCACCTTATACCTACAAACAAAGAAAGGAGAACAAATAAAAGATAAAAAACAATTAAATAGAAGAAAATAGAAGAAAAGGTAAAATAAGCAAGCAAGAGATAAACTAGAGAATAAAAGGTGAAAACTAAGAAAAAAAGATAGAAAGAAAGCTATAAAAGAGAAAAAAAAAACATTCTAAAATATCGCCATTCAAGTTCCATAAATGACACTCATCAATAACAGTCACCTTTTCCGACTTCTTTGCCCTTGACAATGCGATGTACAACTGACCATGTGAAAAGCATGACTGTGGTAGGTAGACCATGACTTGGCTTAATGTCTGCCCTTGAGATTTTTTGATGGTCATTGCAAAACTGAGTTTGAGAAGGAATTGAATTCGTTCAAACTGAAATAGGTATTTTGTTGATGATGAAGGCCGGAGGTTAACACGGTGTATGAACACAGGTTCTCCTTGGCGATGGCCAGTGGCTATAGCACACACAATTACGTTCCTTTTAAAATGCTTGCATATGAGGCGTGCATCATTGCATAGGCCATCTGCTGGAGCAATGTTTCTCAACAAGATAACAGGACTGTTTTCTTTAGAATAAGTTCATGTGGGCTCATCCCACCTGGGGAAAGCTGGTTCAAGAACTCAGTTGGGTAAATTGCACAATTATCATCAAGGATAGTGTTGAAACTTTTGTAAACAACAGGGCTTTCTGGAAACTTATCAATAAGAAAAGTGTTGATGGAGTCTACTACATCATTCAATGGTGTGAGGATGGCTCTTTCTGTGCAAATATCTGGTGTAAAGTCTGCATGTTCTAGTTCAGGGAATGCAATAGCAGCTAGATAATCAATAAGTTCTTCGTTTTTTTGAAAATATCTCACAATGTGAGCAGGAACTAAAACAAAAGCAGTTTTAGAGGACTGCAACTCACCATTGCCTAAACTTAGTAGAAATGATGCATATGGCAGGTCCTCTTTTGCTCTAATATTTTCAGCAAGGTATAGCTTTTCTAACCAAGGCCAAATATGCATATGTGAACTAACCAGGCTTGCTGCAACTACTTCTCTGAGTTTTCTAGGGAACATTTGGCAAAACTTGTCTGAAATCTCCTCCAAATACTATAACTCTTTCCCAGCGAATGGCTGATCTGGATCACAAAGATCGCGAAGTAAGAGGTCCACTGATTCTATGTTTTCCTTTCGTGCCATTGAAGCCTCATCCTGAATAATTAAAGCTGTTTCATTAATTAAAACAGCTAAGCTGCCTTGTTTAGGCACGTCACAAGAAAAGGATGCTTCTGAATCAAGAGGGATCTTAAAGTGTGCATGTGTTGTCCTGCCAGAAGGTATGTTTGCTGCTCCTGCCAGGCGCACTTCCGCATATAGAGAATTATACAGGAATGTTTTTCCGGTCCCTCCAGAACCATCAACAAAGAAATAGCCGGGCTTCTCTACTCGTACATGAGAAATTATCTTATTGAAGGCAATTTACTGAGCTGAATTGAGCTTTTCCCTACAGTCAAAACATTCTTGGGGAATAGGTTCTTCTAAGGCATCAATGATGTCCTTTGTTCTGTTTAGTTCCAAGGGCAGCTCTTCATGTAGGTGTTCGAGTTGGAAATGTGCAAAAGATTTACCTATAGCCTCTAAGTGGCCCTCAACAGATTTTATAGTAAGCAACCTAATAACTTGGCCTTCATTTTGCGGAAAGCTATGCCTAAAGTCATCAGATAAATCGTTGTAAAACTGCAGCCAAAGTGTATTCGGGTTGCTAGGTTGGAAAAATATCAACACAGCAGCAAACAGGCGGCGTAAGACTGAAGGCATATGAACTTCTGCTGCTTTAGCGAGGCATGCATAAACGACATTGTCTTCCTAAAAGAGCCCTCTTTTGATTGCTGCTTCTTGAAAGGTGGCACAGAGTACACCATCCACAGTCCGAAGATCATCAAATGATTTAGGGCTGCGTACATTAATAAGGAGCAGATGTAAGAAAAAACGCTCTCCTTTTGCTGGTGCAACAAATGCTAGTTGGCTAACCACGATTTTCTTAGTTTTCCTTTCAAACCATGCCTTGGCACTGGCATCCCATCTATTGTGCTAAATGAATTGGCTGTAAAGGTACCTTGTACCTTGAGGAGGGGCTGCATTGGCTTAAAGAATTCTTTTAGTTTAAATCTGGACCTCCGTTCGGGTTTAATAATATAGAATCTAGCTGCTCATGAGGCCTTATTTGAACCGTTTGCATGTTTTCCAAATGCACTTGCAGCTGCTGCACAGGAGGGTGCATCTCAAATAAGTCAAAGCCAAAAAAATCTCCAAGCTGCCTCACATGGTGAAACCCACCGACCAGATTAAAACCTGTCAATTTCATCTACACAGGTATTCTTTTCTCCGACAACATTAAAAGATACCCTGTCATTCCCTTGTAAACATACTTGTATAAGTACTTAACAGCTTGAATAGTTGAGCAGATTGTATGGAATAACCCAACGGTTATCAAGGTTTGCACCCCTAATTCGGACACTCTCTCCTTTATCTCCTTCTCATGTATCATGGTTCGATGTTTCTTGTAAGAACTCTTTGGGATAGCCATATTTACAAGAAACATAACTGTCATTCTTTTTAACCATACATGAGCACTGAGGATTCAACTGTCCACAGGGGCCATGCATCATATGACCAACAACAATTTTTCGAAGGTGTAGGGAGCTGTGGGGTGGCAATTCTGCACAGACAAACCGGTCAAAATCTGAAGGCGTTCTTATTTTGTAGTCTTCTTTTAGGATGATAAGGAAATGTGCATGAGGAAAACCTCTTTTTTGGAACTCTACCACATATATCATAGCAGCCACTTTCTCGAAAATATGTTTCTTCATGATTTGCTTTTTGAGGCAAATCAATTTTGATCGAAAGATACGAGCAACTATATCTGGCCGGTTTTGGGCTGTTTCTCCAGGAGCCAGCTCTGCCTTGATCTCTGGCCAGTTGGCATTGCAAGTCATTGTGACAAACAAATTCGGCTTTCCAAAGCGCTGAACCAAAGACATGGCATCAAGTACCGTTGCTTCATGTCACGCGGCCCACCAATAAAAGTCGGTGGCAAAATGACTCGGCGACTAACATTTATGGGGCTTGTTTCACTATTTTCAATAGAGTCTAAAATCCCCTAGTACAAATCAGCTCTGATTGTTTGTTGATTGCGCCGGAAGTAGTCAAGGCGAGTGTTTTCAATCTTCACGTACATATCAACAATGTACTGCTGAAATCACCGCCCTGCCGCAAAAGCATGTTGTTTGGTCGGCACTGCAACTTGTAAGCATAGTATTCACATGGAGACACATGCCTTGCTGAAGTACCGCTTGCATCTGCTAAGCCTGCAATTAGTATGATTAGGATTCATGTTAGTTCAAGGGAAAAATGAAGACAATACACTTTTTAAAAGACCATTAAAGTTTAATATAATTGGATTGTTATTCATCTCACAAACTTACGGCTAGCTTCTTGTGCAAGTAAATCTTCCTCTTTATGCACCAAAGAAGACATAACGGGGTTAGTTTCCACTGTAGTTTGCTGGTGAGCTCCGATGTTGTTTTTCCTCAAACCTTGACCCCAACCACAATCACCTTGCGAAAATAAGAGCGGATACTGAGAGGATCATAGCATCCATAATTGTGGTATATGCGATGAGAATGTTGCGACTTTCCTCTAACAGTGATGTATGGGCCGTTGGACTCACTTGATGAAGTGTTGTCAGGCCATATTGCAGCCACTTCATCTGCCGTGGGAGAATTATAAGCCCGTTGATCTAGGACACTGCTTTTTTTATAGTAATCTGTGTGTCTTCATGAATGTCGAGTTCTTTCAAGGACCTAAAAAAGCAAGCGTAGGGATTATCTCGAGAAACTTCCATAAGTATGTCTATAATATCCTGCCTGATTTCTGGGAAGCTCACAGTTCTGGCAGCTGCCTCACAATGAGCATCATAAAAATATAGTTGTAAGTACTTAGGGCCTTCATCACCAGGTATTAAATCAGGCAAGTAATGATAAATCTGGCCATGCAATTTAAAAACATAAATTTCTTTATGTGTTTTCGCTCAAAGTTTCCACCTAATGAGCTAAATGCAAATAAGTTGTTATATAAACGTATATATTGTCTAAAGTGTAGTGCATCTTCTTCATTGGATGTTAAAAATCTATAAAGTTTAGGGGGGTAGTCATTTGTGGCTAGTTTAATATCTCCATTTCCACAACAGAAGTGCAGTGTCTCATGCTAAAATTATTTCGCATTGCATTTTCACAGAAGCGAGGCTCTTTTAGTTTCAAAGGTGATGTAGGTAGTTTTAGGTCAACCACAGCAGCCAGGGGTTCTGGTATCCAACCAGTAAATGTTAGGCAAATCCATAAGTATGTTGTAATGCATAACTACATAACAGATAGAGATGCATAGAGAAGCTTACTATTCTTTCTAACTCTAGTTCGCTTCACTAGCTGCCTTTGCGAACCCGCAATAGGTGTCTCTGTGATTTGGAAAGTACATGTTCAGCTTTCATGTAATTATGTGTAAATGAATAACCAAATAGCATAGGATGTGGCCAGAAATGCTTATTATTTCTTCTAGCTCTTCTTTTCCTCACAGTTTGTGTTCCCTCAGTTGCTTCAGTGTTACTTCTAGGTATAATTGCAGAAGAGCTATGCTGCTCTGTAATCAAGGTTTCTATGAGTTAAGTAATAAATGGTAGGCAATGCTATATACATTTTCTATGGTTTAGCATTGAACAATGTAAAATAGGCATATACACTACTTACTGGTTTTTGTGACTAGAGACTTCTTCAATGTCTTGTTTCCAGGTCTAGTTTTTTTCACCACCTGCTTGTCAAGATTGGCTGGACTACCAACATCTGGTTCAATGTTTTGGCAACCTTGCTGCTGAGATCCTTGTGCGCTAGTTTCACCTATTTCTCTGTATGGTGAAAGGGAATTGGAAAAAGAGAATGTAAGCAAAACCATATACACGAAACAAGGTTTGTGTTCTTGTAGCAAAAACAAGAAATGCAAGCACCTTATTGAAACAGGTGTCTGAGACATAGCTTCGATTGCTCGCAGTCGCTTGCTAACTCGTGGGTTTTCAGAAGTTTTTCGATACAGCAGGCACCGGTCAGAAAGTGTGGTTGCAATATGTGTTCACCCAGCCTGTGCATTGTTGGTATCAACTGCATCAGTTGACAAGTTTTATTGACCTGTAACCAAGTCATCTGTTATTTAATATGCAGGTGTTAGATAACCTAATATAGCATTAGAGAACCTAATTTAGCTAGATAGCCTTCCTATTGTTAGCAACTGCAGATTTCAACACTGTTTTGTTCAGTGCAACTGCTGATCTGAATCAGAAAGTCTTGTGAAGTTGGATTTTAGCAATAAGCTATTTAGATATCCTTATCCGTTTTTAGTTCACTATGATTATAAATTGTATATATAATCATGCTTACTATTATTTCTGGCCTTTGGTTTTTTGGCCACTTGATTAATAGCATTTCCTGTACCACCAACATCGGACTCAATGTTTAGAGAATCCTGATGTTGAGATCCATGTGCGCTTTTTTCACTGAATTCTCTGTATGATAGATGGGAATAGCAAAAAGAGGATGTGAACCAAGCCATATAAATGAAACAAGCATTTTGTGCTTGTAGCGGGAACAAGAGATAAACACCTTATTGAAACAGGTGTCTGAGACATAGCTTCAATTGCTTGTAAAACGTTTGCTAACTCGAGTCTTTGCAGGAGGCTTTTTAGGGAGCAAGCAACGGTCTAGCAATCATGCAAAAAAGCTTTTTAAACAATATACCTGTCAGCTAAATGGTATGCCATTATTAGTAATAAGCTGTTTCAGTTAGCTTATTAGTAAGAATGCAATGGGGAAGGGAACACGTGATTTACTCATGATGGCGATATTAGATTGGACAACAAACAACAGATAGGTTACGCAACGGGAGCCACAGGTAGGCTGAGAATAAAGGCGTTGGTGTCA